TCTTGTCACTCACCGGAGCAGCTGGACCTCTCCGCAGGGATTATGCCCTTTCCCAGAGAAGAATCGATACTTCTAGAAACAGGTGAAAATTATTCGATGGTGGTGACGAGATTTCGGGTAGAAACAAATGTGCGCATTGCAAGGCCACTGCAAACGGCAGACAGAGTCAGAAACACAAACGTCCTTCAGAGACGAAGATTTATAACCGTTGGTTTGGCACAGGAACCAGCGGTGCATAGGCATTCGATGGTGAACTTGGGGATGAACGCAAAAGACATAGAGCTGCTTCCGACTATGGAGATCTCGGAAGACGTTGATTTCGAACAAAGCATATGTGTAATATGCAGAGAAGAGTTTCGACACCGAGAACGGGTCACCCTTCTTCCATGCAAACACGTGTTTCACCCGACGTGTATAAAACAGTGGCTAGGGGGAAAGGGAATATGCCCTTCGTGCCGTCAGCCCGCGTCATTTACCACAGCACAAAAATGAAAAGCACGGAATAAACACGAACCTGCATTAGGGCAGGATTGAATACGATGATATGAGAGTTCACATCCTCACGCATCTGCGAAATAATAGGCACCTGTTAGATACGGACCGCTTGTTTTCGAAAGCAGCGCATGTGATGAACGTCTAAGATGTTGTATGTGATATGATGTTCATGCAGATATCTTCAGATATCTTGTTTTTTTGTTTTGATTTGTTTTTGTTGTAGACTACCTTCCTTTCATTTGTTGCAGTTCACTTTGACGAAGAATTTATTTAAGTTCAATGATGACATTATTTATGCAATTTCAGGTTTCTCAAATTTATTTTTATTGATTCCAGTAGAGAAGTTTCACGGATTTTCCTTTAATGCCTGTCTAATAAATTAAATTATTTCTGGTTGGTGCTTAATTACTAATATATCGTTGGTATTTATTTAGTTGCTGGTATATGAGCAGCTTTTGAAAAATCTCAGAACCTTCAGAGAAATAAAACTTGGCTGTGAAAAAAATGTTAACCGAACCCGGATTTTGTGGAGAAACAAACAGAATTAAAAGTTACGCAAATTACGATAGAATTAAATAAGAAACAAAGAAAATCAGAAAAAAATAGCAAGCATGATACTGTCATACTTCATTTCTATATATGTCGGTAGTATTGTAAAAATCAAGAATTCGATAATGTGTCGTTACAACTTCCAGTTTATAGCTGGCAACGGTGCAAAATCGCCTGACAAAATCACAGGGAAAAAAGTCCACGGACAGAGTTAGACAGAGCTCTGGAACTCTCCAGGAATGAACTGCTTAAAGAAAAAGTAAAACAATAAAGTAACTATTTATAATAACGAAAGCTAGTGAATTCAATCATCAAAAATATTATGAATGTTAGAAAGAAGAAATTTAAATTACCGTATTTTCCCATCGATAACGCGCTCGCTATCTATACAAAAGCTTAAGTCAACGTAAGAAAACAACGTTGCGCGTTATGCAATGAAAAACGAAAAAATTCAAATTAGTTCAAGTTACCTACCTGCGCGAAAATTTGAAACTGCACTTTATTGTGAAAATAAATTTGTCTGAAGCTTGTACATGTTGTAATATCAGTGAATGTATAGGTTTATATAACAGAATAAGATTAAAGTAAAACATGAAACGTAAAATAACGTTTAATGCACATGCATAATATAATAAAGTCACTCAAAACCACAAAACTTCCTCTGAATCAATATAAAATGAACCAAGAACATTTATCGTTTCTTCCGGTACATCAGTCAGTTAATTATCTGAAATTAATCCTTCGTCATCTTCTATTTCTGGCACTGTAGTATCTAGTACATCGCTTAATGTTTTTAGAAAATCATTTTGCACAAGACACCGTAACATCTTGCCAACTTTCAACGACCCGCCTGCACATTCCTGCATATGACACCCTTTTCCCCATTTACCACAGTCTTTAATTCCAGCTATTATCTACTTCTCTCATCTGGAAGGCAACTTTGACTTACAAGATTTATTAACGGATAAATCAAGTGGTTGAAATTTTTTTATTAATCCACCTGGAATTATTGCCAATTTACAATACTTGTCTACTAATCCTTTCACATCATCAGTGACATGCACACTACAATAGTCGATTATTAATAAGAATTATGATTTGAAAAAGGCTTGTTTTCTTTTTGTCCAAACATTTTCATCCTTCACTTTCATTATTTCTTGATTAAGCCGTCCCTTTTTCTTCGCAGCAATCAAAATGTTTCTTGGAAAGTTTCCTTTAGGCAATTCGTTGTTTTTTCTCGTATCTACAACCAGGAGTGGAAGCTTCCTCCCATCGGAAGTCACGCTTAACACAGGAGCTCGACTGTGCGACTTCTAATGTCCGATCGTGGCTACGAAAATTTCTTTTGATGCTTTTAAATTAACAGTCCTTCAATCAGGGTCAAAGCTAACGAGCATTTGGTTCATATTGCCAAATGTGCAGGATCAACACCACTCAAAGTTTCTTTAACGTAAAGTCTAAATTTCTCTACTTTCATTTCCCAACCATCGAGTACTTTTTGGCTAACATTCGACGATGAACGAAAACAAAAATTGTTTCTTTTTATAAATCTAAAAGCCCATGATAGGTACGCTTTAAAATGTTCTATTTTGTCCTCTGCTGCAGTCACTTAGCCTTTAACGAAATACTGGTTGTTGACGCCTTATGACCTTTCGATCTCTCTAAGAGATCTCCCACTTGAGAAGTGATTTTTCGGGTTCTGGCCATAAGCATTTCCTGTACCTCATTGAGCATTTCTTGTGATGTAAATACTTTAGGACTTCTTGTTATTTCCTCCATCACCGTACACTGGACTCACAAACGTTAAATTTCCTGGGTGCCTCGTGAATCACTTTTTCTTTCACGAAATTATCGGCTGATAGCCTTAACATCGCTGTATAAGATTTTCTCCCACAGTATCTTTTTTCTGAGCGGTATTTTCTCATGAGCAACGTTCAATTTGGGAAACTAAATACCAGCAGAATACATGCGTTCAAACACCGGAAGGAATATGGCGAATAAGTCTTGTTAATTCTTCTGGTCGTTTGCTTTAAATACAGCCATATTACTTCATTATTCATTTGTCTGAAAATTGCCTTTTTTAGACAAGAAATAGATTACACGTTATCTCTACATTTTAAAGAGCATCAAATATTGCAAGGTGCGCATCATCGATGAGAAAACACGGTACTTTAAAACATTAGCAGTGTAAAATGTAAGGACATTAATAATAAAACTCACTAAAGTTTCCCTTTGTATAAATATTTCCAAGTAGAATATTGCCAAGGTTGGTTAACACTAACAGCTGCGATTCTAAGGCAGTAGATGAAAGTTCCAACAAACTTTATTCCTTACTAAGCATCTCTAAGAATGACAATTCTCAAGGTTGAGTTTATGAATTACACAAAGAAACAACGATCACCGTCATTCATATTACGAACATCTGCTGAAAAGCTTAAAAGTCAAATTGCCGCAGCGGAACGTGAGCGACAAAGAAGCTTCACGAAGAAACGGATGCCACCTCTCAACTAAGTCGAGATCAAATGGGAGGAGATTTGCGGAATCGCATAGCGTGCATTACAAGAAAATGCCTATCCTGGTAGTCAAAGTACATTGGCATTCTCAGAAAAATCAAAATTGGCTGAAAGGAAGGGAGCATTACTCATTCAGCATTATTCATTATGAATTGAAACGTGATAGCTGATAAGAACTCTACGCGCATTGGATGAGCCCGTTGCACCTGTTAATGAGAAATCATAAAAGCAGCATGTTGTATAGAGAGCTCGTATTGTAGCTCTACAGCGTTCTGGACCAGACTTAGTGGACAATCATTTCTCGGTCAACGACCTATCAGAGAACCCTAGACATATTTATTAGGACCCGTGAGAAACAGGTCCAACGTCAGTATCATTGTATCTATTGATTAGTATTTAATCGTATAATACTAGGTAAACCGTATATGCTGTTTTTTCAATGTAAACATGGTAATAAAATTTGATGGATCATATATTACCGAAGGAAGATGAAACCAAATTAAGAATTCCTTTTATTTGATCCATCATTTTCCGTTTTGTGATGAGATAATTTTACATCACGGGCGGAAATGATCGTCACAAGTGTCGCATTTGCGGTGCAGCAAAACTTGTGGATGTATGGTGGCTTTAAAGAAAATTCGAAAAGCCGTAATGCCATCTCTGAAATTCTTGTTAATCGATTCTTATTTTGTAAAGGAAACACTTTTAGAGGTAACAATTTTCTTGCAATGTGCCAAAATTTCTATTTCACTCAACTAACGATAATTAATCATTTTACTAGGCAGTATAATTTCTTACAACACCACTTAATCCTGAATACAGACAAAAGAGGCGGGAACACCGTGAGTAAAATTATCCATTGCCAGCCCAATCCTGATGTGGTAGAAAAAGTTATATTAAATAAAGACTATATGTCATCCATATCTCCATTTCATGACCGTACAAAGAACATTATCTTTAGATCTGTACGACTACCGTTTGAACATTGGTTTGGATGTCTGCTTCCTTGCATTGGATCAGAGAGTACATATGTACAATGTGCTGCATATTGGTGAATCCTTAGCAAAGTAAAATCTGTCACAGACATGATGTGGTAATATGGCATCATGACATTAACTAACTTGCTCTCAGTGCGGTCATCTAGGGGAGATAAAGATGACATGTGGTAGATGATCATATGATTGATGCACCCTAATGTTTGCATAAAGAAAAAGAGGAAGGTAAGGATGAGGTTGATGGATTTGATTGTCCTCAAAAGATGCAAATATAATAGGTTTGATCCTACAATCACCCGTTCTAGGAATCAGATTAGATAAATTTTCATTCCCTCAACCCTCAAAATTGCATCCGCCTCAAAACCAAGCAGCGATTCCGGTTAGAAAAACTAGTCATCCAAACCGGGGACTAATTGACCAAACTGGCCATTTCCTGCAGGTTGTTAACCACAATGTGATGCAGAATTGTCGCTTATTCAAAATTATTTGACAGTTGTCGCCTATTCGTCAACCCGTCTTTAACTTATTTCTACTTTGAATCAAAATATAATAGTCATTTATCCCAATAAATTACGTACGACATTTAATTTCAGATTACCGCATAGTTCCGGTTAAAACTTCTTCGGAAAACTCCTCTAGTACCTTAATAACAACTATGGATGCATTCAAAAATTGGATAAACTTTCTTATGAAATCTGATATACCCGGTTATTTGAGAAACAATTTCTAACGAATAAAATAGGAATGGACTCCTTCTTAGTTATATTTTCAGACCGCAGTTTCAAATTATGGAGCGCAGATTAGCCAAATATGAATAGAATTATGGTGTATAACTTAATTAAAGATTAAAACACGTTTGCCGTTTTGCATCAACAATTTGAGTACATTTAAGTATAGGTACTGTATTTTATGAAATAGTTTTCAGGTTTGAACAGGTTAAAAACTGAAACTGCTCAGTTTAAAGTCGTGTAGGCCAAAAAACTACAACGGTGCGCAATTGCAGTTTAAACTAAGTTCGTCTCTAATCGCTTCAAAATAATCGAGTTATTGTACGGTTTGCATGCGGTGAGTCGCACTGACTGTCTCCGGCGTTCAACAGCGGTACACGAAAGAATTCGAAGGTAATGCATCAGTTGCAACTACGCTTCTTTAATGTTAGGTGAACAACTTGTCGTTTGATTGAGATTGAAAATTTCCGTTAAACAGTTCGGATAAAATCGAGTTTGATTTGTTATTTCAGAATTTCATCTCCTTTGAAATACGCATTGGTTGAAACAAGCCTCCCAAAAGCCCTCAAGCTCTAGCTTGGTCTTTCGGAAACAGGTGGCCGGAGGAGGGTTCACTGTCAGTGATACTCTTAAGAGTACTGTCCTTTGTAGCAAGAGTATTCTTGCATCAGCAATGATTTTCTACGCAGAGAATGGTTCTGAGTTTTCATTAGTATGGCATGACATCAAGTGCAGCTTTGATAGAAACTCCAATGAGTTCAGAGTACCCAGGTAGTCTGCGTTCGTTCTTTTGCGGTTGGTGCATGTGCAATAGTGGAATGTGATGTTTCTGCTACTTGCATCTCTGCGCAGTAGTAGAATTGTAATTCTTTGATCTTCTGTTTATGTAAGTTATGGCACCATGTATCGTCATCGAGGTAAGCAGAGGTCTGAAACCGTAGTCGAATCTTCAACGAAGCTCATCTTCAATGGCGATGCCTGCTTTCTCAGGGCGATATAATGTATAGAGATATGTTTTTGGGATGAAGCAGCTAGGAAATCATTGGTGTACTGGCAAAAATAAAACCGATGAAGTTATTGGACCAAACGAAATGCCGCTACTCATTCTCTTTTTGTGATAATGCTAATAAGCAATGATAGATATTTTTATTATTCAAGGATCCTAAAGAAAATTTCTGTCCGGAATGAATTTCCCGCCACTAATTTATATCAGAGACCAACTAATTCATGATTAATTCTTTTCAGCATGCCCTCTGAGTTTTCTGTATGTAATTCTTGGCTTTTGTCATTATTCGGTATCGGTTAATCGAATGAGTTTCAAACCTCAGACCTGAGAGAGATAATCAATATCAGGCGTATTGTAGCGGCTAAGTTTTCACCTGCTATAAAGTTCCAGTCACAAACTCTTTGCTCAGATATTCTTGATATATGCCTATAAGTGAAAACCGCATAAAACCGGAGTATCTTATACACAACGCAAACAGTACGGCCAATCGAATGACGTTTCGGCTTTTGTCATATGGTTCTTCAAGATAACGAAGTCAATTGACCTGGACGTTTCGTAAATCACTGAAAAAACAACGATCCACCTATGAAGCTATAAAATATTAATAATTGCGGATGACCATGATCGTCACGTAGTAACGAAATACATGCGAACAAGAAAAGCCTCGCGCCCAGCAAAGTCTAGGAATAATGTAGAAACCGTGACACTAGAAAAACATGATGATCAGGTTGTACCGGCGTATCGAAGGAAGGCACTGACGGAACAGACGCGCCAACGAAACATTCAATCGTTCAACCCTGAGGAACTGTCAGTCATTACCAAGGATAGAAACTCTGTGTGGATTGGATGGCCTTTTAATCAAGAAACTACTTAACACGTAGCACAGACTGAAAGCTCGTTCATCTGGCACCAATCATTAAAACTGCTGGTAACGACGAAAAAAATTCTGAGTCACTCAACCAATCTCCTTGCTTTGAAAAATGTCTATGAAACAAAGGCCGAAATTTTAGTACTAGTCAGTCATTCGATGCACCGTATTCCCTGCGCTTCTATAATGGAGTGTGTTTTATGTCATTTTTAGTATGAAAACAAGCGTTTTACAGCAAGAACACAAATGAGGATCTCTATTTTCAACTATTAGACCAAATTGACAGTGTTCATCAACAGTGAATCGATTTATCAGTAGAGCCCATCATTTTCCTTATGGCGAACGATGCCAATTCCGTCGATATATTAGAATTGTTGTAAACGAAGAGTTTTTTTTGTTACGGAGTTTCAAGCCATGGAATCAGACCTGTCAGCTTTAAATCATTAACTGCGCGGTACTTATATGGGTTTAAGGAGGCAATATTTTTGATGATACAGCCAAAATTAATTTTCATAATTTCTAGATTAGAAATTGTTGCTTGATGAGTGCTTCGAGCGCTTGTGTTACGCAATATCTTTTTCATAGAAAGACGGTGGATACAGATCTTCGAACTTCAGTGAATGAACATGTTTTCCTATGCACGAACAGCATCCGGTGAAATGTTTCGACAGCGGAGAAACATTTCACAACCGCTCACGACCAGACGTGTTTGGAGTGCAGCGTGCATTGCCACAATGGCCCGGCACCGTCGTATGAGAATGCTCTCTCGAGGTTGGCACGCGGTCAGGCAAAGTCAAACAATTCACCCACAGCATGGAAGAGAAACACGGTTCATAAGACAATACCCTTACGACCAATCCTTGGAAACCTTTAACAGAGAATACCATTCACGTCAGAACCGTCAGCAATTTCAATCTGTTCAGTCAAGGAATTTGTACGTGCCTCTGAATGGAGGCCATGGTAACTCCGATTTAGAATGGTCACGGTATCTGTCGCATTTGGATACCTCTGTGTCGATGGATGCTGGTTTTCATGAAACTTCGTCGCTACCATTTAGACCTTATCCATCGATCAGTCAAGAGCACCCCGGTAGAGTGCAACCTGGCATCAGTACCATGCATCGTTTCGACATGACATCGTATAATTCTGCGACAAATCGTGCAGCCACGAATCGGTATGAGCCGCTCATGCAGAATGTTGACCTCGAAGGCACTGCTGATTCAACCAACCACGGGACCAACCACGAAGAAATGAGAACGATTATTCATGAACAAATAAATGCATTGCTTGAAAATGATTATTTCCTCGACGACTTGTTTAGTGTGCTCGAGTCTGCCGGTGAGGTGAACATCGAAGAAGCAGGCAGCTCAAGGAGCGATGCGATGAGTGTCGAGGAAATAGCGGCTCTTCCGACAGTTAAAGTTTCAGAAAACATGGCCTGGCAGCAAAAAACCTGTGCCATATGCATGGAGGATTTGCACTTGCAAGAGTGGGTGACGGTGCTTCCATGTCGTCACGTTTACCATCCAAAATGTACGAAACAGTGGCTGTTGAGACACCGCACATGTCCGACTTGTCGACAAGCATGCGCATAATGACCTTGATTACTGTGGTGCCACATAATGCGGTCTTTTTCCAGTTAATATGACTCATATATTAATGTATTATAGATATGTTTCTGCGACTTCCATGGTTCGACATCTCGACACTTCACGTCCAATTATGTTTTCAGTTATGACGTTTCGTCTATTTTCTTGCTTAGGATGGTGGGACAAATGTACAGCATTGGCAATGTTAATGAGATTAAATATTTGCTTCTGTTAAATGTATTCGACATGTACCTATGTTTGTTTGATTTTTTGGAACATAGTATTTTCGTTCGTTGAGGTACTTACCTCTGGTTTGATTCGTTTTTTTCAAAACTGTACAAAGCCGCCTTCATGAGAAAGGCAGAACTGTACTGAAATTATGATTTACTTATAATATTCTTCTCCTCGATGATTTTTCAGTGATTTTCTGACATGTTACTTGCTTTGTGAATAAATAATTACCTTATCTGTAGTTGGACTATAATAAGCCCTCGCCATGCGCGTTTTATTTCTAAATCAGCGTTGTTTCGGTCAGCACCGGGTACCGCAACACAGCTATGAAACTCGACCTCTTCCTTAACGTCCGGAAATGAAAAGTTATGAGGAACTTAGCCGGCACTGCTGCTTCATAAATGCATCAGGAAAGTATAGCGTTTCATGCACTCTTCCAATTTGGGTATCTCCGCTTCATTGTCTGCAGCGAGCGATAGCATCATCCAACCAAAATTAAATTGCAGGATTGCCAGAGCCTAGAGTGCTTTCGATAACCTGTTCAATAAGTTGAATAGCCCTTTGGGCTGAAAAAATAATAACTCTTTCATCAGAAGTCCACTTGTGCCTTTCCTCGATCAGATCACTGCTAATGTACTGCATGAAGCCAATTGCTACAACGAAGGAACGAGAAAGGCAGTTGAACCGTGACCATCAGAATTGGGTTCGACGCATCATGGGAGTTAAATCGCAGGACAACCGAAATAACAACTCTGTTCTGTAACGTTGCGGGTGACTTCAATAGATGTGAAGATTAACACGAAATGACTGTTCTTGTTAGACAAGCTAGTTGAGCATAAAGCATGTTCCCCAACCCATGAGCTTCTCGTATGGGAGCAGAAAAGCTTCCACACGCAGGGGGTCAGAATTCTATAGGCTTGGGGCTTCGTTTACGAAAGTCTGACTGTGTTGAATTGGTACCTTGTGACCTCATCCGTCAGTTCCTGCTCTTTTCCTCTGAATGAGGATATTTTTCAGTTTCCGATTGTAAACTTCCACTGATGGTGTCGTCTGGTGGAGCCTTTTCTGATGGGCTGTAGTGGCAACACGCTGCCTGCCTCCTCCTTTCCGAACGAGTAGCGACTCCGTTGCTGAGTGGTATCTTCGTCGTCGTTCAGTGGGTTTTGTCAGCCGTCGTTGTACTGCTACGCCCCCGGCTGGCAGAGGGCAATGAGCAGGTTCTGACCGCCGACTTTTCGCAGTATGCCTCAGTCGTCCAGCAGTCTGCGCGGCCGTTGGTAACCCGGGCGGTGACCAAGCCGGTATGCTGTTCGATCACGGAAATACCAAGTACTATGATTGGCAGGTGGCTAAGTTTTACGGAGATTTCGACACGGTCTTTGACCTCCTTGTTCCTCATCCGGAGTTAGGACTGGCAACGCGAGACACAAATAATCATCAGCGAAATGAAGTAGATTATAAACCGCACTATGACAGCTTTTTTTTGTTAGTTTCATGAAAATAAACATATAAAAGTGTCAGCGTGAGACAAAGCAAACCCATACATTAAAACTGGAATCACCGGTTGGGGCCACTTCCGAATTATCCGAAACATGCTTAGAAACGGTACGGATTGAAAGTGTTGAGAAGTCACTATGTTTTCACAGTTTCATTCGTACTCACAGTTTATGAAGAAGGTTAATTTCTTTCATCAGCGATGAAGATAGGAGCACAGTCACCGTTTTGCGTAAACCATTTCTGGAAATTTTTTACATGTCGAATAAATGGCTGGCGGTTTCGCGAAAATTGCTCACAGAGTGAGCAAATCCGCGTCGTCCACGGTTCGTCTCTGACCGTGTACTCAAGCTTATACTTGAAGTACGTGATATACCATGTTGTGTCGTTGCCAAGCTTGTAAAGAAACTCAGCAAGAAGTTTTGGACTCTCAAAATCATCGACGGCGACAAAGCTGCCTTCAGGTAGTAAGGGCTCGGCGATGGCCCGACTGAGGACAATCGGCATGACGTACGTGCTTAAGGCGGTTGTTACCTTTTCCGTAACATAATCGAGGCAAATGGCGTTCTCGAAAGACAGGTAAAACCGATAATCGTTCTTCAGCATGTCAGTGCAGCTGCCGTTTTCGCGTGAGCACCGCAGAGGTCCACACCCGCCGTATATATCGACTGCGATGTACTTCTGAAGCTGTTTTACGTACAGCTCCCTTCCGCTGCTAGTGTGGCAGTTGCTGACAAACCATGCGATGTGCTTCGTCTTTCCCTTGGCTAGCTTCGTGAGCTGTTCGTCGTTTTGCTGCAGCACATTCTTATTTTTCTCCACTAGCATATAAGGAGAAAATATGTCAGAGTCGCGTCGATACGTCATGGTGAGGTTGAAAAAGTTATGCTCGATGAAAGCGGTGGACCCCGAGATGTGCAACGGTGCCTCCCAGTTGGCAATGACGAAAAGTTGTGACGGATGACGGTAGTTTGGCAGGTCCATCGGATCGAAGTTTCGTTCATGGAAAAATACCACGTGACTGCTGTTCAGCAAAGTCTTGTCACTGGTCACTTGACAGATCGTGGTTGGGCAACGGTGAATGGATGAATTGATGAAACTTTCCAAAGGAGTACTGAAAAAGAACGTCCAATCAAGAATGACCACCAGTGCTTGGTTTTCCAACTTGTACCGCTTTGATCTGAACGGAGAAATGTTCTGCTCAAAGATGGTGACCATGATGGCGAATACAGATAGAAAAAGAACAGAACGAAATACCGTTATGAATTGAAGACGTCGACAAGCGAACCACATCGTACTGGCTTTGTTCAGTTTATGCCAAATTTTGGCAACAGGCGCCATCTACTCGTTCCGAGCGGTATACGCAGCTAAATAAACACAAAAATCGATCTACTGGCATGGGCTACGCAGCATCAGAACAAGTGTAATAGGGAAGCTGTGATGTGATGCGATGAGATTGCCATAAACAACACCTTTTCGATCGATTCAGCAGAAGCTAATCTTCAGGTTCTCTCGAGACAAGCGAGTGACAGAAACTTTGAGGAAGTTTACCCTCCAATATAGTGTGCGATCAGAGTAAATAAACTTTTGTATGACGAGGAATGCTGTTTTGCAGTCGTCGACGATCATCGTTCAGCAGTCCGCTCAGCGGACCACTTGCAACGACATCCATTCTGTCATCTGTTATTTGGAGCTGATAACGGACCTGTATTCAGCAAACAAATTTAAATATGAAAACCATGTACACAATGTACAAACCAGAGTGTAATTGTCTATCACTCTGGAGATACTCTTCGATTTACGATTGGATGACACTCCGACGAACTCACCATATGTTGAAAATGTCTCAAGTCGAATATGAAGATGGTTTTAAATAAAAAAAGTTAATAAATAACCGCTATCAATTTATAAGTAAATCAACGAATAATTATTGCAACTAGTTAAATACCAATAATTGAAAAATTAACGTTAAAATCTGGAAAATTATGCCGGAAAGGAGATCAGAGTCATCAATTTGTTTTTCTTCTGATGATTCTTCTTCATGAACGTGGCTAATGGAAAACATTTATTCGTGGACTCTTCTTGATGGTTCAGGAAAAAGTACTTAGTTCTTCAGGAAAATAAGTTTTGACAGGACAGTTTGTTTCCACTTCTTATTTTAAATTTCTTTATACCAAGCAGGAGCATCCTATGTTTGTCTCTAAAATTTTGCATATCTCTCATAATTATGATCACAGTGCATCGTTAAGTACTGCTTGAGATGTTTACGCTCGCGATCGCTGCACCGACGGGTGGTGCATGGCTGTCTCACCGTGGTAAAGTCGGAATATCGTAAAGCAAGGAGCATCTGTAAATGAGCTTGCCCCTTTATACGTGAAACGAAGGCAAAATTTAGATGAAATGCACGGAGAAGATGCTCCTTTCGCTAAAGTTTGCTTCAAGAGCTTGAGTGACAACCACCAAAATCTTATGCATGAGAGCAACATATTTATGAAATAGCTACATAGCAGTAAAGTACCAGGAAACCAAAGAGAAAAAAATGGTTGTTCAGTGAAATGAGAAAGAGGTAACTGCTTCTTGTTCCTTGCTCCGTGGCATTTTCACGCACCCCGTCCTAGTCGCACACCTTTCGCTGAAGAAACAGTACAGTCAAGAGCTGTTGCGTGATGGTAGAGGTTTGCGAATTTCGAAACTAAATGGGCACCGTACATATTTCATGCCAGAGGGAATTCGACAATAGAACTCACAAGATGTCTTTGGATTTAAACTCAATGTTACGCATTAACTACTGAGGGAATCACCGTAGCTATGCAGCATTAAATGATTTCTATGCTGCAAAATTCAGTACCACCTACAAACGACGACACAGTTTCCGTGAACATACAATAGCGGTAGTGAATCAACAGGATCATGCAGAGCGATCTGAAACAGCTTTGTAACTGACAGTGGAGCGGAACAAGTTCTATTCACATAGCCAACACCGGGAAAGTTGTTTTTGCATACGATCCTCATATGCTATGCCGGTATAATGTCTGACATAAAACTAAAAGGTCCCCAGTTCAAGCTCCGTCAAGGTCCCTCACAGATCTGAGTTCAGCACCTCATCATCTAAGCAAGTCCGGTCAATTTATTCGCATTACTTGACCACAGTATCATTGTTTTCACATCCGTAAGTTTAAAAAGTGGATGTCGAATGCCTAGTAGCTCTGAAACGAAATAACAATCGTATTAAAGGAACGGAGAATTTGGGCGCAGGCGTTGTGCTGAAGACCTTGGTTGTTGTTAGCGCTTGGTCCTGCAGTCGTGCATTAAATCTGTGAAATTGGCCAGCGGTCAGCTGCATCAGTTGCTTGATTTAACCCATCGAGTTACATTGGAAAGCTCTATGTGAGTGACGGGCCATGCCGTTGTCAAACTGGTGAATTTCTTATCACAATTCCGTTGTTCAACGATAGAGCGCAGTCCTGGGGTTACGAGTTTGAACTTATAACATTGGTAAATAGTTATCTGCATTTGTCATTTGGCTTCGCATTCATATTGCCTATTAATGGAAAGCTCTGTACGAGTGCAACGCGAACGCAAATGTCGATTATTTTCGTTTTGAGATTCCATCGTGACGACTACGCCAGATCGGTAAGTCTGATGTTCATTTAGTTAAAGCCTGCGTAGGGAGGTACGACCTCTGTGTAAGGTATAGACAAAGAAAATGTAATGTATCACATAGTTGTACTATAATTTATGGTGTCATGGCATAATGTACTGTATAGTTTTGTGCTAAATTTAACAAACCACATATCCTGTAATTTGCAATACAGTAAATATTATGGAGCACTTATACTACAATGCACTGCAGAAGCAGTCAAGAAACCTTTCAAATTGTATTACAGTACAGTACATAAATTTGCTATGTTCTGGTCAGCAATAAATTTTAGTACAACTTATTACACTGTAAATCAACACTATTGTAAACGGCAGACCTCTTCTTCGATATTACGGTAGAATGCACAGATGCAACACAATCGATAGCTACAATGACTAGGTTTTTGTCTCTGAAAATCGTTGACACCGTTCACTGTGATAAGTGAAAATCACTGCTATGACCATGACTGGCTCCCTCCTTCCCGCTGGTTGACGAATTTTCATTTTATCTTCCAAGGTAATGGCTTTCCTCCTCTTCATCTTACCACCAACAGGAACAAAATTAGCACATTTGAGAGCACAAATTTTAGGCGCAAAATATCACACAGGGTAAATATTCCTTGAATCGCTATCTCACAACTGGCAGTTAAAGAGAAGAAAGCAGCGTTCGAGAAATGGCTTGGAAACAAGGAGCCATCTACTCCCGTGCGATATGTCGAGACACGCAAGGCGGCAGCCATAGCAGTGGCAAAAGCCAAGGCTGATTCCTACGAGAAGTTCGGTGAGGTGTTGGAGTCGAATTTTCACACGGCAAACAAAGTATTCTGGCAGGCCATCCGCCGGCTCCGAGGTGAAAAGACGGGTAGTCTCAGAGTCTTGAAGGTCAGATCTGGACACCCTCTTACCAAGGATGACGACATTCTTCGGCGACGGCGTGAGTACTTCGAGGAAATCCTTAACCCCGCGCAACAGCAGGAAGACTCGCCTGTAGAGCAGAACGGCACGCATATTTGCTATCTCTGTAGATGAAATTGCACAGGCTGTGAAAAGCTTGAAAAATGGAAAAGCTGCCGGAATTGATAACATCCGTCCTGAAATTCTAAAAGCAATTGACGAACAAGTAATGTGCCACCTTCAACATATCTGTCAGCCTGCAATGGCTGCGATGAAGACGGCAACGGGCTGCAGCACGAGTGTTGTCGTACCCCTTTTCAAGAAAGAAGACCAAAGAGAAGGCTCAGATTGTCGAAGCATTACCTATTGAGCCTCCCGGACAAAGTCTATGCAACGGTGCTAGAAAGTTGGTCCGCTAAATAACTGACACAAAGAGAAACAAAGAGCAGTGTTGCTTCTGACTTAGGCGAAGCACGTGTTGCTAGGTATTTGCTTAATGCCAGATTGTTGTCAAATTATGGGAGCTCATTCGAGGAAGACGTGCTTTTTCGGCCTAGAGGAAGCCCATGACCGCATCCCGTTCAACAATTTGTGTACGTGTCAGAGAACATATGGGATAAATGGCTAGTTGATTAGGGGCAATCAAATTAGTACATCGTGATAGGATTTACTGCGTCAGAATAAATGCCGCTAAGTCGAAGCCTTGCAGCGCCGGCACTGGTTTCCGCCAAGTCTGCGTTCTGTCTCCTTTTCTGTTTGTGTTGTGCATGGATAGAAGAGTCAGGCACTGCGGAGGCAATGAGTACATCCATCTAAGAGATGCTACTATTTGAGACGACCTTGTTTTATTAGCATCTTCAGAAACTGATCTACAGTGCTCCCTAGAAAGGTTCGCAGCCGAATGTGACGTGACCGGCATGCACGTGAACGCATCAAAAACGAAAAGCCTAGTGCTTTCTCGTTCTCCTGCCCGTTGCTCTCTTCAGATTAACGGAGAAGCAGTAGAGCAGGTGGAGAAGTTCAAGTACCTCGGAACTATTTTTACTAGTGATGGAAAGTTGGAGGAAGAGATCGACCGGCGAATTGGAGCAGCCAGCGGCGTTCTGCGTGAACTAGCCCGATACACTGTGACTAAAGCAGAGCTCAGTCTGAAAACTAAGCTCTCAGTGTTCTAGTTGATTTTATCCCCATGCTTACCTACGGTCATGAATCGACTGAAAAACTTCGAACCCGGGTACAGGCTGCTGAAATGGGCTTTCTTAGACGAGTCGCTGGCCTTACGCTTCTCGACATGGTCCGGAACAGTGACATCCGGAAGAACCTTGGAATACAACCTTTGCTTCTCCAGATTGAGAAGTCACAACTGGAATGGCTTGGGCATGTGTGGCGAATGCCTCCAGAAAGGAAGACTAAGGAAATGTTGCCTGCAAATCCGACCGGCAGAGGGCCCATGGGACGGCCAAGATTAACCTGGTGCAAACATATGGAGGGAGTCTGTTCCAAACTGCATTTGTCTTTTACCGAAGCTCAGACTCTGGCACAGGATCGGGAACTTTGGACGCTTTCTCTGACGTGTCTGCCTCCGCGATCCGAAAAGAGAAGCGGCGATGGAAGATGAAGATCGCTATCTCACTATTGGTTAGATCGCTGGAAACTGAGGCAGACCACGCATTAAGTGTCGCGACGCTGCCGGCATCCACCTCTCAAGTGTACCCAAATTACCTTACGGCATACGCCTACGCTACGCTGTTCTTCTCCATGTGAAGTCGGAAATATATTTCGAATCTTGTTGTATCGTAATCGGTATCTTAAGATCGAAAAATCTTAAGTCGAATGATCTTAACTAGGCGTTTAACTGTATATGCAGAATAATCTCGGAAAGCACATTCTGTTTCTAATGTATGAGTAAATTTCCAAGTTACTGTGATTTGCTCAAAATTTCATGCTTCGTTTTTTTAGTTTTAATTAAATTTCATTATTTCATCCTTAATTTAGGAATTTCGGTTTAACCCTGCATTGAAAAACGATATTGTCTTTTGGTTTCATCTGCAAAGTTGAAACTTCAACGCTGGAGGCGCAGTTGAGAGAAGAGCATAGATGCAATGGTAATCCATACTGTAATAATGTTTCGTATTAATGCATCGCTATTGCTGTACTTGTCAGTTGTTGACCAAGTTGTACCGTTCGTCCGCGTCACGTCCAAAATGTGGCGTGGTTAATTCATGTAACCTAATTGCCATATATCGATAAGTTTGTGCTGTTTTTGATACGTAGGTGTTCCGGGAACATGTCGATGGTCACCTGCGATTCCTTCTAGCTAGTATGAGTGAAAGGCGACAACGGTCCTTAACAACCGTTTGTTAACAGACGTGCCATGATTCTGCTGAAAAGAAAATTTCGACCGTTCTGCCGCAAACGTCTGAAGGTACTAATAGTGATTGTGCTGATCGCCGTTCTGTTGTACGTCAGGTCGTCATCTGACAGTTCCAAGAGTCATCATAGTGCGGTATGATTTTTCTGTTGTTTACTTTTTGAATCGCACAGCACAGACTTTCATCTGCTTAGGTGGTTTATGATAATTTGCCTCCTCTGCCGAAACTGTCGAAGTTTATCGATGGCGTGCCCGGCGAATACGAGGTTCAGCCGCCGATCAGAATCGGTCCCGGTAAGACTGAGCGCTATCGTTTTGTGGCATCAAATGTGCATATATGTACCTATCGCTCATCTGCTGTTGAAACCGTACTGTCGACTATTCATGTCAGACTGAAGGAAGGAAGGGAGATGTACCACGAAGAGGACAGTTTTGAGCTGGGATTTGACATCATTGTGGCGGATTAATGGTTTGGCCTTGTATTTTTGAGGAAGGAACAAACAAATTTTTTTGCCTTTGGAATGTCGGTCTCCCGTACGCACGCTTTCGTAATTGAGTGCCATTTATGTAGTCCTTCTTTTCATGAATCTTATGGTGCAGCTCCGTTTCCGTTACGTCAGCCAGGAGTGCTTCACTATTCTTATTTCCTATAGGTGTATCCTATAGGATGTTCCTATGTGTTCATGCGGTTTTGCGTTTCTGTCTTATGGCTTTCAAGAACCATTGTAACCTTTTACCGATGTTACCTCGCCCGTTGTGCTTTTAGAACAGTTCTTTCTAGATTAATAACACAGATGGCAAACGGGGACAGTAGAAGTTACAGCTTTCGTTTATTTTAAAACGCATCCTTGGTAAAACCGCAAAGAAATATTTCCGTCCTGCCCTGTGAACCCCACGAATTGAATGATAATTTTCTCCTTGGCAAGATAGAACAAACACCTTGACGAACGAGTTATTCTGCATCCGATATTCAATATTTATTAATTCTATGCGAGCGGATGCTTCTGTAAACATATGCGCATGAATGGCGTAAAACGATAAGAAAGACAATGCTAGAGACGATGTTTTAACGAACATCCAATAGCGCGTAAGAGCTGGACAAGGAAACTCAGATTTTCTTTGAGAGTGGCTCACGTTTTGTCGAGATGACGATGAAATTCCGTTGTGCAACGAAACTCAGAAATAGCAGTTTGTTTTACATGGGTGAAGTGGATTGGAGGTGCCTTGGTCATGTGGAATCTGTTCAGAACTGTCGTCTTAATCAGTTCTTAGCCTTGGGGCAGTATTTCCGTCCTCCAGGCCTCGTGATTGCCCGATACATTCTGTAAGAATGCAAAATCACCTCCAGATAGTACTTGAAAATGGACTGGAAGTAGGTAGGTGAAAATTTTTACTTGTAGAGCTGGAGAACCTTCAGCACCATTCAGAAGATGAGTTGAACATGGTAAAGGTATTTAGTTTCTATTTGTTTATTTTACGCTTGAGCTTTTCGTTCGTGCATCGGTGGTGTTACTGTAAACAGCATAAAATACGATGATTGACCAACCGACGATTCGACCTATATCTCACCGGCCTTCGTCGGACGACGACAAGTACTTCGGAATATAACCCACTGTTCTTCCTTGAAGAAGACCCGTAAGCCACGGGCCAAAACGTCAACACCTGTCAGTAATCCGATTGACCAAATCGTTTGCACTGTGTATAAATGAACTTTGACGAAAAAGATATACACAATGCAGTGTGGTCAGCCGGATTACTGACCACTACCGATGTTATGGCCCGTTTTTTTCACTGTTCAGTCATCCGTGAAAAACAGTATCAGACCCCCACTTTAGCATAATTGTG